CAAGAATACTCCAATGAACATTGTGGTGGCTGATATTGCTCAAGATGGGATTCTCGGCTCTGAGTATTTATCTGCCAGTAGAGCAATCATTGACTATGCTGACCTAAAGATGCACTTCCAGAACCCTGAGGAAGACAACGAAGTTGGAAAAACAGATGAGGAATCAATACAATGTACTGCTAACTCTACCTCACTTAGACCAACTAGAGAGGAAGTTGGAGAAAAGGGGACCAGGAAGACAACATTTGATCGAAATGTGGATGAAGACGACACAGATCCGGGGGAGGAATTTTACAAAGAGTCAGGAATTGAGGAGAGTAGCCAGGAAGATGAGGGGAATACTTCAGCGCTAGAGAAGGAGCAAATTGAAGAGGATCAATGTTATGAAAAGCTGACCAATTCCTCCGGGCAAGGAGAAGGCATCCCAGTTGATGAGCTGTGTTTGAGCAAGAACAAGGCATTTAGGTTCAAAGACAATCACCTAGAGAGTGAACTGAGTAGGAGTAATCAAGATCCAGAGCGGGGAGTAGGAGTTACTCAGGGAGCTGAGCTTGAGAGTAAAAATACTCTGTACCAAGAGTCAAGAATCTACAAGAGCTCCCAGTCTGAAGAGTATGTGAAGGAGAAGTTTACTCCAGTAGACCAAATTCCGAGAAGTAGGGAACAGTGTAATACCTTTAGGAATAGCTCAGTTAGGAGCAAGGCTTCAGGGAGTAAAGAGTCAAGGTCTAGTCCGACATCAGAGTTAACTCCTGATTGTAAGTCACCAGATGGAGACCCAGTCCAAGGGAGCAAAGTCACAACACACAAGAGATTGCGGAAAAGAGAGAGACTACAACAGCATGGTGTCTCCGGTCCGTCAGGGAGTAAACTTGCAAAGTTTGATACAACGATGCCCAATTCACAGAGAAGAGCAAAAGAACTACAAAAGATGGATGGCCTTTTAAAGAGTAAAGTTTCCTGGGCACTGGGGTTACCGCCAATAGAGGAAGAAAAGACTACTCCAGCTGAACAACTACTAGGCGAAGGGACCAAAGCGCCAAAGAGTAATAAAGATATTCACCTACAAAGAGGAGACTCACCAAGGAGTGGAAGTGCAGAGCCCTGTGAGAGAGGCGAGTCATCTGAGCAGTATTCCAGTGCATCTCACAAGAAGGAGGAGCTGTCTCAGGAGTGGCTCTGCCATATAGCAGAGGATGTTGTGATTTCGCCTTACTGTGGAAAACTGGTGGATATTGAGGTTGACTGCTCAGGGAGCACCGACGAAGTCCTGATTGATAACAACTTTAATTTTAAGCGATCCAGCCAGGCTTTTGAACTAGCTACAACCTTAACTACCATTAACGATGGAAGCAGCTTTGCAGAGATTTGGAATTTATCTGCTCTTCCTCTGGAGTTAACAAAAGGGAGTATAGTGGGAGTAGCTACTCCATGTACTGGAAAGGTGTATTGCATATCCCAGGAAGAGGAAAATCTACACAACATTTCATGGGTGAGAGAAGAAAATCAAGATTTGAGTCCAACTATGACAGAGGGCGATACGAGCAAGACTTCCCCAGTGGCCGACTTTAAAGTTCGTCAGGATGAACAGGATTACTCGGGGAGATGTAAAGAGCAGATCGGGGAAGAGCAGTGTTCACATGAGGAGTACTCTCCGCAAGAGACCTTTCCAGAGTATTTAGAGGATTTACTCTTGCGAAGTACTCAGGGTCTGAGTAATCAACAAGGTACTGCAGTAAGAAGACTATTATTACAAAACGCTGATATTTTTGCGTCATCTGATGCTGATCTTGGCCGGACTGAGTGGACTGAACACAGAATTCCAACGGGGGATGCCAAACCGATTAAGCAGTCATATCGGCGTCTACCTCCTGGTCGACAGTTAGAGGTGGACAAACAGGTTAAAGACTTGTTGCAGCGAGGAATAATAGAAAACAGTCAGAGTCCTTGGTCAGCGCCTATTGTGTTGGTTCAGAAGAAAGGCGGAAAGTGGAGATTTTGTGTTGACTACCGGCGCTTAAATCAGGTGACCGAGAAGGATGCATTCCCAATTCCTAACATTGCTGAGACATTGGACCTGATGGGAAACAGCGAATTCTACTCCACCTTAGATTTATGTAGCGGCTATTGGCAAGTACCGGTAGATCCTAAAGATCGGGAGAAGACAGCCTTTTCTGTCAGAGGTGGACAATACCAGTGGGTGGTGATGCCATTTGGCTTGACTGGAGCCCCATCTACCTTCTGTAGGCTCATGGAGAGAGTCTTACGGGGACTGACTCTTAAGACCTCACTCGTATATTTGGACGACGTCATCTCCTTTGGGAGTAGCTTCGAGATGGCTGTAGAGAGACTGCAGGAAATTTTTGAAAGGTTGAGGGAGGCTGGACTTCGACTGAAGCCATCTAAGTGTACTCTTTTCCGCAAAGAAGTTGAGTTTCTGGGACACGTGGTCTCGCGTGAGGGAGTTACTCCGAATCCAGAAAAGGTTAAGCAGATAGCAGAGTATCCAGCCCCAAAAAGTGTCAAACAAGTGCGTCAATTTATAGGCGGAGTTTCCTATTACAGACGACATATTAAGGACTTCGCAATGATTGCAGGCCCACTTCATGAACTGACAAAGAAGAATGTCATTTTCCATTGGAATGAACACTGCGAGGAGGCGTTTAAAACATTAAAGGAGAAACTCATGAGCGCTCCAGTGATGGGTTATCCAAAGGAGGGATGCAAATACATATTGGATACAGACGCCAGTCTTGAGGCTATAGGAGCAGTACTCTCGCAGATCCAAGAAGGTGAGGAGAAGGTGTTATTCTATGCCAGCAAGAGATTGAATCGACATGAACGAAATTATTGTGTGACAAGACGTGAACTGTTAGCTGTCGTCAATTATACTCGTTATTTCAAGCAGTTTCTGTATGGAGTGATGTTTTTGCTGCGAACTGACCATAGCTCTTTGAGATGGTTGGTAAACTTCAAAGAGCCAGAAGGTCAGTTAGCCAGATGGATACAGAGCTTGCAAGAGTTCCAATTTGAGACGGAGTACCGACCAGGACCAAAGCACCAGAATGCAGACCTCATGTCCCGGGTGCCATGCAAGCAGTGCGACCATTGCGAGGGACGATGCGTAGAAGAACAGATTGAAGAGCAATCAGAAGATGATATTTTGACTGTTTCTCTGGAGCAAGAATGGACTTTGGAGGATATAGGAGTAGCCCAAAGAGAAGACCGGGACCTTACTCAGATCATCAACTCTCTGGAAGAGAACAAGGAGAAGCCGAGTTGGGAGGACATCAGTTCCAAGTCACCTACAGTTAAAAAGCTGTGGATACAGTGGTCCCGACTGCAACTGCAATCCGGGGTACTATGTAGAGTCTGGGAGGAGGAGGATGGCTCCATCACTCGACTCCAAGTGGTTACTCCTGGAGTTTTAAAACCAAGGGTATTGGACCTGGGTCATTCTTCTCCAACAGCAGGACATCATGGGGTGAAGAGGACTCTAGAAAGATGCAGAAGGGCGTTCTATTGGCCTAACCTCTCTGCTGATGTTAGATCATATTGTAGGACCTGTGAGATATGTGAATCTAGAAAGAATCCACCTCGGAGAAAAAAGGCTCCTCTGCAACAACTCAGAGTGGGAGCACCGATGGAAAGATGGGGAATTGACGTTTTAGGGCCATTTCCAGAGACCCCAAGAGGTAACAAGCTTTTGCTTGTATGCTCTGATTACTTTTCAAAATGGCCGGAGGTGTTTCCCCTTCCTGATCAAACTGCTGTGACGGTAGCCAACAAGTTGGTGGGTGAAATATGTAGCAGATGGGGGGTTCCAAAGGAACTTCACAGTGATCAAGGGCGCAACTTCGAATCTGAAGTATTCCAGGAGGTGTGTCAACTGATGGGAATAGACAAGACCAGGACGACACCATTCCACCCCCAGTCGAATGGCTTAGTGGAACGGTTCAATCATACCCTTGTAGATAACATCACTAAGTTACTTGCTCCAACTTACTGTCAAGATGATTGGGACCTCAAGGTACCCTTAGCTTTAATGGCCTACAGATCATCTGTGCACAAGGCGACAGGGGAGACACCTAGCATGATGATGATGGGTCGAGAAATGAAAGCCTCGCTCGAAAGGATGATAGCAGTTCCAGAGACAAGCGAACTAGCAACAGACCATGCTCTGGTGTTGCGCCGATGCTTGGAGGAGGTCCATGAGAAAGCCCGTGATGTGTTGGAGCTGGCTGTTTCGAGGCAAAGATTGGACTACAATAGGAAAGTGGATGAGGAGCTCTATCCGGTGGGAAGTGCAGTTTGGCTGATGAACAAAACAAGGAGGAAAGGAAGATCTCCAAAACTACAACCGAGATGGGTGGGGCCTTTCCAAGTTGTCAGCCAATTATCACCAGTGACCTATAGGATACGTGAGAAGGGCACAGGTAAACCACGTATTGTCCACTTCAACCTACTCAAACCATTCCACTGTGCACTCCCTAAGAAATGGCCGAGAGTAGACGAGATTGTTAGGGACAAACCTGTTCTCTCTTCTGATCCCTTGAGAGACTTAACCATGCCAGAAGATGATAAAAGGTGTGGGGAAGAACACAAACCAGATAAGGACACTAACTTTGATGCAAAAGATGAATTACCAAATCAGGAAGAGTTGGAGAGTCCACCACCAATGGAAGCCCCAGAAGGACCCAACGATCATTTGAAAGAGGAACCTGAAGAGAAATGCAGTGATCCTACATGGCTGAATGAGGAAAAACCTATAAAACACGGAGAAGAATTGAAAGATGGTTTCCGGGATAAACTCCAAGACCAGGCTCCCCCCTGTTTAAAAAAGGTCCCAGTCAGAAAATTGGTTAAAACAGAAAAAGCGGGAGGGAAAAGGGAACGTTGTCCTAAAATTGAGCCATTGCAAAATGAATCAAAGGGGGGTGTTCTTCCTAAAAGACAAAAGAAACAACCCAGTAGATATAATGATTTCGTTCTGTTTGCAGTTGATGAGATGGCACGGTCAAGATCCCGATCTAGAAGACGAAGAGAGCAGTCCAGAGACAGAAAAGCTCATCACAAGCATGCTGAAGAGAAGAAGAGTGAACATGTATCTAGAAAAGATGAGCCTACAAGGAGGCGCGTTGTGATAGAGAAGCCTCCCAGCCGGGACCGTAGTCCCAAAAGACAGGAGAGAGAGAAGCCTCCCAACCGGGACCGTAGTCCCAAAAGACAGGAGAGAAAGTTGGGTGTACATCCATTTGGGAAGATGATAGCGGCCACGAAAAACTATGTTAAAAGTGAAATCAAAGCAGTGGCAAGTTCAAAGGGGGATTCTAAGAAGAAAAGGCTGGACACCCACAAGTCCCCAGATTCCCATGTCAAAAGATCTGATCAGACACTCTCCAGTAGTCATCATAAGACTGGAACCAGTGGATCAACAGGATTCTCCACCAAATCTACCTCAGGAACTGATCATCGGGATGGATTAGACTCCTCTCACAACTTCCAGGAAAGAATGACTAGCGCTGTAAATCTTATTAGCAGCATCTCCTGCCCGACAGCAGAATCCGCCAAAGTTGGTCCAGAGACAGACACTTCCCATGTGTGTTCGTTATGTGCCCAAGTGTTCACAAGGAAGTTTAACCTCCAGCGACACATGCGACACCTTCATGGGATAGATACTACTAGTCTAGGAGAAGAGCCAAAGGTGCCATTCTTTCCTCTTACCCCGAATTTAGAGGAGGAAGTTGATGATTCACCAGTTGAACAAGACCATGAAACACCTACCTCGGAGGCAGATGGAGAGTCAGGGGATGGTAAAGCCAGTACACGGGAACATAAAGATGGATTGGCAGAGGATCATTATTCTAGTGACACTGATCAAGATGGTAGACAGGAACGGGAGGTCGAGGGTGAGAGTCCTCCTATTACTCTTGACATTCCAGAGGAAAACAAGTCGGAACCTAAAGGGAAGGAAACCAGCACCAAGTCACAAGCAAGCGTACCGTCTGCTACGGCTAGGTCACCAGAAGTGAGGACAATCGGAACCCAGACTCATGGACCTTCCTTCGCACCTAACGTATACGTACATGTAGATCAAGTATATTTCTAAGTTGGTCTCTCACAGATTTTAAGATGTTATGTTAACTTTTAACTTGTTACTTAATATAGCTCGTTCATATCATGTAGAGAGAGAGATAGAGACTTTAAAGTGAAATTTCTCTACTTTTTATTGACTTTAAGTTGTATGTTCATTATTCGTAAACTTGTTATCTTATAAAAGTGATTCATATGTCAAAGAGAGACAGAAAGACATGCACAGAAATGATTGTTTATGGCATTGATCAGAGACTTTTGAGATAGTTAGACTTTTTAGAAGCATCTCTAGAATGTGATGGTGTTTACTGAAGTTTATTTTAGTTGAAGTGCATTGATGGTGACTTGGTAATTGAGTTTGAGACTATGTTATAAAAATTATCATGTAGCATGTTATATGATTGATTAAAAGTTACTCATAAGTTGTTTTTTTACTCCAATGGTTGTTGCTCATGGTTAAGATTATAGGAGCAATGCGAGGGCGCATTGAGTAAAGATGGGGGGTGTGTGGGAAATTTGAATTTCCCACCTTTCAAAATTTAATCTACGCTAGAGGGCGCTAGTTCTTAAATTTCAAATACACGAGAATTGTCATTTCAAAATTTAAAAAAAAGGCTCCTTTCCTGCGATCTCCTGGTAGGTTTCCATTTATTTTTATATTCCCTTCATTCATATAAGTATCAAGAGTAATATTATGTGATAATCTAAGAGAAACTTGCCTGAATTTAGATGTAATGATCGTGCAGAGTAGAATTTTTTTCGTTCGAGTTGTGTTTACTTTCTTTTTCGAATATCTAGGTCAAATTACTTTGTGGTTATAACTTCATGACCCCCCTAGTAGGGTATTTTTCTGATATACATTTATGTTTTATATTATCTGGGAACAATTAGGGATAACGTTCCTTACTTCTGTAATAGTTTAAATTCATATTTCCGGGGATTGGGTAACTTACTCTTTCTTCTAACAGTGCCATCCTTATTATGCTTACGTGCTATGCCTGGTCTTCGGTAGTTTAACCCCAAAAACCTAAACTAATAAAAAGAGTAAACTAAGAGTAAGTGCAAATCTCAAAGAGTAACTTAGGAGTAACCATAAACTCAAGGAGTAAGCTGGGAGTAAGAGTAAGAGTAACCTTACTCTTTGCTTGTGCGGGAACCCTTGTCCTAGAATTGGTCAACCCATAGGAGAAATATGCCACATGGTTATGAGTCATCGGCAATTAAAGGATCTGTGATTGACATTGTCATAGTGATTTCCCACAATGCATCACCAAATGGAGTAAACACACCAGCTTAGTCCAGCTGTAGCCAATCAGATAGCTTCCTTATGCATCTCATTAGTGGGTTAAGATAGGAGATAATCTGATCACCTGATGTTAGTCTTGCTTTAAATGTTAAAGTGTGAGGATGTGTAGCATCATTTTTAAAGCTAAATCGGGAATATAATGGAAAATTTGATTCTATTATTGGATGTTTATTGTGTTTGTGGATGCTGATAAATCTGAGGAAGTCTGGAGATTAACCAAGTGTGGATTAGCGTTAGTTGGAGTATATTTATCGTTTCGTGACGGAAAATACCATGACACGTGGATATAGGACCATTTGGCATGGTGTGATGTGGGCGAACAAGGAGAACTGTGAGTGAATTAGCAGTTAGAGACGCCTAAAGAACATGTTCCAGATTTTGTAAGTGCTGATATATTCCTATAATTCCTTTTTGTGATACAATCAAAAGGTTAATTTGATGTTTTTTTTCCGATTTGACATTGAGATTTTGGTGATTGCATCATACACTCCCCACAATCCTTTGCAATTCCGCCATCTTGGATGACTTCCGGTCCACGTGTGGTTCAAGTCTAATCTCAGAATTTGATTGACATTCTTGAACTACTCGTTCCTTAAAGCAAGCATTTTCTTATTTTTGAGCGGTAGTTTTATCCTCATTGAAGTGTGTGGATCAAATCTAATCTCAGGATTTGATCGACATTCTTGATTCCATCCGGAGCAAGTATTTTGTTGAGCAGTAGAGTTATTTCCTTTTGGACTGGTAATTGGGGTCTAATCTCATAATTTGATTGATATTCCCGAACTACTAGTCTTGTTTTGAACAACCCAGGCTGAAGAAGAGTAACCCTGAGTAGAGCAGAGCGGCGAAGAGTAAAGCAGAGTAACCCAGGCTGAAGAAGAGTAACCCTGAGTAGAGCAGAGCGGCGAAGAGTAAAGCAGAGTAACCCAGGCTGAAGAAGAGTAACCCTGAGTAGAGCAGAACGGCGAAGAGTAAAGCAGAGTAACCCAGGTTGAAGAAGAGTAACCCTGAGTAAAGCAGAACAGAATAAAGAGTAAGCAGAGCAGTGCAGAGTAAAGAGTAAGCAGAACAGAATAGAGAGAAAGCAGAGCAGTGCAGAGTAAAGAGTAACCCTGAGTAGAGCAGAGCGGCGAAGAGTAAAGACGAGTAACCCAGGCTGAAGAAGAGTAACCCTGAGTAGAGCAGAGCGGCGAAGAGTAAAGACGAGTAACCCAGGCTGAAGAAGAGTAAACCTGAGTAGAGCAGAGCGGCGAAGAGTAAAGCAGAGTAACCCAGGCTGAAGAAGAGTAACCCTGAGTAGAGCAGAGCGGCGAAGAGTAAAGCAGAGTAACCCAGGCTGAAGAAGAGTAACCCTGAGTAGAGCAGAGCGGCGAAGAGTAAAGCAGAGTAACCCAGGCTGAAGAAGAGTAACCCTGAGTAGAGCAGAACGGCGAAGAGTAAAGCAGAGTAACCCAGGCTGAAGAAGAGTAACCCTGAGTAGAGCAGAGCGGCGAAGAGTAAAGACGAGTAACCCAGGCTGAAGAAGAGTAACCCTGAGTAGAGCAGAGCGGCGAAGAGTAAAGAAGAGTAACCCAGGCTGAAGAAGAGTAACCCTGAGTAGAGCAGAGCGGCGAAGAGTAAAGACGAGTAACCCAGGTTGAAGAAGAGTAACCCTGAGTAAAGCAGAACAGAACAGATTAAAGCAGAACAGAGCAGATAGGAGTAGAGAGTAACCAGAGCAGAGAAGATAGGAGTAAAGAGTAAGCAGAGTAGAATAAAGAGTAAGCAGAGCAGAACAGGGGAAAGAGTAAGCAGAGCAGTGCAGAGTAAAGAGTAAGCAGAGCAGAACAGATTTAAAGCAGAACAGAGCGGAATAAAGAGTAACCAGAGCAGAAAAGAGTAAAGCAGAGTGAATAGCAGAGACGAGGGTAGAGTAAAGAGTAAAGCAGAGCAGTGCAGAGTAAAGAGTAAGCAGAGCAGAAAAGAGTAAAGCAGAGTGAATAGCAGAGACGAGGGTAGAGTAAAGAGTAAAGCAGAGCAGTGCAGAGTAAAGAGTAAGCAGAGCAGAACAGATTAAAGCAGAACAGAGCAGATAGGAGTAGAGAGTAACCAGAGCAGAGAAGATAGGAGTAAAGAGTAAGCAGAGTAGAATAAAGAGTAAGCAGAGCAGAACAGGGGAAAGAGTAAGCAGAGCAGTGCAGAGTAAAGAGTAAGCAGAGCAGAACAGATTTAAAGCAGAACAGAGCGGAATAAAGAGTAACCAGAGCAGAAAAGAGTAAAGCAGAGTGAATAGCAGAGACGAGGGTAGAGTAAAGAGTAAAGCAGAGGAGTGCAGAGTAAAGAGTAAGCGGAGCAGAAAAGAGTAAAGCAGAGTGAATAGCAGAGACGAGGGTAGAGTAAAGAGTAAAGCAGAGCAGAACAGATTAAAGCAGAACAGAGCAGATAGGAGTAGAGAGTAACCAGAGCAGAGAAGATAGGAGTAAAGAGTAAGCAGAGTAGAATAAAGAGTAAGCAGAGCAGAACAGGGGAAAGAGTAAGCAGAGCAGTGCAGAGTAAAGAGTAAGCAGAACAGAATAAAGAGTAAGCAGAGCAGTGCAGAGTAAAGAGTAAGCAGAACAGAACAGAAAGGAGTAAAGAGTAACCTGAGCAGAACAGAGTAAATCAGAGCAGAGAGGAGTAAAGAGTAACCAGAACAGAATAGAGAGAAAGCAGAGCAGAGCGGAATAAAGAATAACCAGAGCAGACCAGAGTAAAGTAGAGCAGAGCGGAATAAAGAGTAACCAGAGCAGAATAGAGTAAAGTAGAGCAGAGCGGAATAAAGAGTAACCAGAGCAGAACAGAGTGAAACTAAAGCAGAGTAAATGACGTCAGAGAACAGAAGAGTAAAGCAGAGTAACCCCTGAGCAGAGTGAAGAAGAGTAAAAGTAGAGCAGAGTGCAAACAAGAGAAGAGCAACAAGACAACTCAGAGATATTTATTACATGGACATTTGTGTTTTATTTGTTTTCAAAATTAAAGTGTTAATAAATTATAAAAAACCTATATATTTGAATTTTGTATATAAATGTGTAACCACCTCCCCTTTCAGTGAAAGCAGTACCACCAAACCAGGTCTGCGCCCACATAAAACCAGTGAGAATCCCATATTAAATAAATTGTTCGTGACCCGACCACAACCACACTACCAGATTTTGGCCAGGTCCGACAATATATTTTACTTTTTGTGGTTTTACAACATGGGCTCTATGGGGAATCTCCCCGACCTAGAAGTCACATTTTCAAAGAAAATTTAATTTTCAAAGTTGATAAACTCTTTTCAAAACCACATTTATAAATGTAATTTTACATGTAGATTCCAAATATGACATCAGTTTGACTGAATTGTGAATTTTAATGACGTAAATCAAGATTATTTCTACTCGCATCTGGGATATTCCTTAATGCAATATATACGCACATGGATGCATGTTGAATAGCAAACACAGTATGCAAATGCACTAGTACACTCAATCTGAATATTGTGTCTCCATTGGGAGGTATTGGATATGTTGATATGGCCGCTTTACCATTGCATTACAGTGCTTTTCGAAACATCAAACAAATTAATGTTACTCTTTTAGCAGACTTTACACATCACTGCATCTCAGTGTACTGCAATATTAGCGCAGTGATATCAAATATATAAGGACTTTTTTATTGAACAATTGAACAGCATGCACTCTGTTTTATAGATTTGTTGCTGCTGAAATACATTTTTTACTATTATTGTCTGAATCAATCAATTTTTCCATTCCATAAACCATGCTTAGTGACTTTAATATGCAATTTACAATCATTTTCTCTCAATGATTTATTTTTTAGGTTGCGACTCAAAGCATGGGAATTGCAACCTCTGTGTATTTGAGGCTATATTGAACCATGCACATCTATCAGTAGATATAATACCATAGATAGCAGAATGAAATCAGAGATAGATAAAGTCTCTCTGAGTCATAGTTCAATGTTGTGCTCTATTTATGAGTATATTATATCTACTTACAACACACTATCAACTGTCCCTGATATACTATTGTGTATTGGTGCATTGATCTCTGTAGTGTTTCCCTATGACCTAGAACCTGATCTTCAAGTAGGAATTACTATGAAGATTTTCTCAATAAAATGCAATTATTGAAAAGGGTTGCCTTACATTGAATTAGGTGCTTTAACTGTCCCTGATGTACTATTGTGAATTGGTGCATTGATCTCTGTAGCATTTCCCTATGACCTAGAACCTAGTAGGAATTACTATCAAGATGAACATATAAACAAGTAAAATGAAATTACTTAGGCCTTGGAGCTGCATTGGAAAATGGTGCCGGTATTACCACATCTTGATGCCGTATCATTAATAGTTAATCGCTGGCATTGAAAAATGTTCTAAAAAAATATGAACTTTTTAATTTTTATAATTATTATTTCTTTTTCGTTCATTAATTTCATTGCTGGCATCCACCGATAACCTTGCCTATGCGGAATTACCGATAATACCACCTATAATTCTATTAAAAAAGGATAGCCTTACATTGAATTATACCATGTTGGAAATCCATTTGCACTTGATACATTGACTTGTTTTACACATTTTCACCAGAATATGCAAATAAAATGATATTTTTAATCCAAGTCTGGAGAGAAGCTGTAGTGTTTGAGTAGAACAAAATGAAGTAATTCACTTTGGAGGTTGATGATGAAAATGATTTCTGATTTGCATAATGTAGTATTATCTTGCAAGTAGTAATTTCTACTCTGATATATATGAGTATTCTACTGCATTTGCATATAGATTTTCCTGAGATGTGAGAGCGATAATAACATTGATACACTTCTGTGCATCTTTCAAATTAACCACTCTATAGCATGCTAAACAGTTCCTATTTACGGTTTAAGATATAGGTTTTTTACACCATTTATTTACAAAATTCTATACATAAATGACAGGCCATCATATGTACATGCATGCATACCATATTCCCTCTAATAAAATAAAATTCACTTTTTCTTGATTTTTGTTACTCCAGTTGTCAGAGTCCCATGGAAATTAGGGGGTGTGTTTATTACAGTATGTGCGTCTATTAGAGGGAATATGGTATATGTACATGTACTGTATATACCTTGAACGATGAATATGAAATATGCTAGCACTGTCCATCTTTGATTTCTGAGATAAGGGGTTGGGATAAATATCAAACTTGTAAATTATGAATACAGGTATCAACAGTATCATGTAGTTTCTGATATCACCAGTCAGGTTGTTATGTGTTCATCAAGTTCATAAATGTGGCAGATGTGATATTTATATTTAAAAACTGTTAAATGAGATAATGAACATTTCCTTATAAAATATAAGTCTTCAATTTGATACATCCTACTATACCTTGTCAATAACTGTAATAAGTGTCTTAACATTAACTATAAAAATTATTTTCAAGTAAAATTTTGGTTAACAGAGCAGGCCATAATTGTTCAAGTAAACTATGTATCGGCAAGAGTAAATCATACTTCCATGAATAATGTATTTATTGCTGTCTTGCAGAATAGTATCATATCTCACAATTCTTGCAATGTTCATTTAGTGTTCCAGACTGATTTCATTGTAAATATGAACTGAAGAGAGACATTTTGTGTGGTGTAATGTCTGTCTTTTTAGATAAAGACATTTAACTAGACTACAATTGAGTGGATTGATCGGTCATCCCACTGAGGCCACTCATCACATCTTTCCTTTGGCAATTAGCAATCTAAAGCTGACTGAGAATATAAAACATTGTTTATCATATGTATCTACTGCTAAAAATCGTTGTTATACGTGTAATGAGAAACATTGATAAAACATAATTATACATGTTTTTGCATATTTTGCAGTACTGTATATACAAAGTATGAAAATATTTACCATACATTCTAATTGTGATATTTGTATGTTTCAGTTCTTCCTGCAGTGATGAACCGATTAGGAGACAACAAGGATGATGTAAGAGAGGGAGCACAGGATCTCCTGCTTAAACTTATGGTGCCAGCTTCATCCGCCCAGGTAGGTCAATCGCAGAGGCCCATATCCAGCTTTTCCCAAGAGGGATCACTTACTAAAACTTCCGGGGAAGTTCACATTTGACAACTTTGGCCCAAAACCACTTGGAAAGTGCTCAGAATTGTGATAAACTTCATGATTTTGAAAGGATTTTTAACCAGAGGGAAGTTTGCTGAAATCCTCACTGAGATCGTCATATTGGCTAATTCTCAATCTGCTTTTATAATTGTTTCTATGTCTATTTCAACAATGAAATGTGAAATATACCAATGATGTCATATTAAGTGTGAAGAACTGGGTTTAAATTTCCATTGTACTCATGGCATTTCATTCCATGTCTTTAGCAAGAACAGATCAAGCTGCTGTGATGCAGCTCCCACTTTTGATTATGGCTTGCTATTTTGATAATATCTTGATCTGATGTCAAACACCAAAATGTGCTGTGCTGAGGAAAGGATATTTCTAATTGAAGCAAATTGAAAACAAATATGTCTGCCACGTACTAATGTAATTTTTTTAAATTTATTTTCCAATGTTACTTTCTTTTGATTGTAGTATGTGTTCGACCGTATCATGACAGGTTTCAAGCACAAGTTATGGAGAGTGCGAGAACAAGTGCTGTTATGCTTAGCCAGTACTATAAATCAGTAAGTCCGATATAAACATGTAAGATAGCACTTAAGGCTAGAGAAGATACATAAAATATTTAAAGATCTTATCCAAATATTAAACAACATTGTAAAGTCAAGGGGACATTAATTGAAAATGAAACATTTGATTTTGTTACTTTACACAGCTGGATATGATACGATATCTAGCTTTTGTAGTCTTAGAATCACAAAACAGAATATTGCTAAATGTAGAAATTAAATGCTCTGCCCTAATAATTATAAAATGTTTACCAATGAATTAAATAGTTGACATTTTGGAGTATGTGTCAAAGTTCCTATACAGCAGATTTTCAATTAACATTGAAACATTCTTTTAAAAAGTCCAATAAAAAGATGTACCTCAAAATGTGTTACAATAATTTAAGTGCCGATTATAAATGTGAAGATGATCTGCTGTGCTTAAACTCATGTTTTCATTTAATTCTTAAATGTGAATGTTTGTGAGAAAATATCATACTAAATCCAGCTTGTATATATGGTCATCCCATTGAATGAAAAAAGAAGCGTATTTGTTTTTTTCAGTTATGGTGCCAAATCTCTCACATTGTCCAAGATTGTTCCTTCCATATGCAAGTGTCTTGAAGACCAAAGTGGACCTGTAAGTAATCTTGCCAATCCTGTTTATGCATTAGCTCAAATTTTACATACTGTGATTCTATATATTGTTCTAATATTAAATAGAAGGCAACAGTTATGGTGCAGATGGCATCTCACCTGTCAAAAAATCAAAAATCTAAGTACTTTCATTGCTAGTGAATGATGGTCATTTTGTGTATGTCTACAACTAGAATAAAAGAGGGATCCTAAATAATATATATCAGAAACATTTAAGTAATCATGCCTTAGTTGTTGCCTCCCAGAGTTGTTGAATTCATCTCATATCATCCATGTTATGCCCTGAGAAGATAGAGCAGGACATTACAGTGAAAGCATTTAAAGCAAAAACTATGCCTTGATAATTATCTGTTGACTCTTCCATTGCCTAGGAGATGTGTGATGTATGACTGCATTGAGTTGTTTCATTACGCAGTGAAACATTGACTGAATTCTTTGATTACTTTAGTGCTTTTATGCCAATTAATCAGGATTTCCATCAGTTAGATTTGCAATCAAACTTACCCGATTTCTATGTGCCTATCCAAGAAGTCATTTTGTGAAAACTGCTTATTACTTCATTTATATTTAAAATATAAAACTGGGAAGTTAAATGTTGATCTAGAAGTACCCAGTTACCCACTTTAAAAGTTTTGAATTTGCTTTGAAACCAAATATTTTGTTCCAAAGTAAATTCAGAACTTTTAAAGTGTTTTATCCATGTATACGAGCATGTTTGCCTATGGTCTCCAAAGCAACTCAAACTGTGTTTGATGTCTTTCTGCAATTCCTGTGACTCGAGTTGGTTTTCAGTGTTTTTGGCATTTGTAACAAATTGCATGTAGTGACATTTTGCATGTTAATGCTTTGTATTGCACTTTTGGCAAACACTTTTATTTATCCATGCATTTTGTGCTTGTTACAGGTCCGAGATGCTGCTACTGCTGCACTAGTTGAGATATATCGCCATGTAGGGGAGAGGGTACGGAATGATCTCAGTAAAAAAGAAATTAGCGCATCCAAGTATGTATATTCATCTAATATTCATACCTTCAGACAAAAAGAAATAATCAATTGCAACATTTGTGATATAATAATATAATATTATTGTGTCTAAATCACCCTGATATCCCCATTATTGTAGCATTTCTACTATTTTCATGTATTAAGATGGTAGAGAATTACAATGTTGTGCTTTCCTGAATCCTTGACTAACTTCCTTTATGATGTTATTTAGTTTCAAGAAACCAGCAGTTTCTTTAAATTCACCATTTTTGAAGGTGAACATTATTCTGCAACTATTGATGATTCAATATTATTGCTGAAAGTGGTGTATTTGCTTGCAATTTTGTAACAATTTTTCTCCGATTCTAGCTTTAAATAAATTTTCATCTCGGCAATGATTCAATTCTGTTATGTTATTTCAGATTAAAAATTCTGTTTGAAAGGTTTGATCAAGTGAAACGTAGTGGAGACATGCTTCCTACAGCAGACCTTGGTAAGTGACATAAATACAATATTTCATATGACTCTTTCTAGCTAGGGTCTAGATTTCAGATATGCTGATCAAATTGGACATGGACGTTACCTGTGTCATGATATTGTCCTATACAACATGCCAAAAGTATCCAAATTGCCAAATTCATTTTCCTATATTACTGAATATCTGAAACATCTCGACAACCTGATCCTGTTTAATTGAAAGATGGCACTAGTGTTGTTTTTCAATTTCAACTTTAATTTATAGAAACACTTGAAAGATGGCAGTATTGTATATGTATTCTATCTGACATTCAGTTTCTTTTGTTTGCGTGTGAATTTTTCAGATCTTTTGAATGCCTGTATCTGTTTTTTATGTCTATTAATATTCAAAGATATGTAATAAATGCAACAGTGGTAAACATACCTCAAAATCCTTTTCAAAGCTTGAATGTAAAAAATAAACCATTTTTCAAGTAAAATTGTTTTGAAGAAAATAGATGTGTTTTTATACCTGCTGGGCCTGTGGAGTGATTTATAGTTTGATGCATTTGAAATTGTACGATTCAAGTTTTTTCAGTTAAAAGTTTTAAAGAGGATATTCAACTAAAGTGAACCATTATGAGATATTACCATGGTTTCAAGCATACTGTTATTTGTAATAAATTTTGCTAAAGAGGTTGCAGTATAAAACATACGGCAATGTTTTTAGATGTGTGATCAAATTAGAATTTTGGGTGAAATTTAACTTCATTTTATGACATTGCCAAGTCCAGTACTTGTATAGTTAAACATGTGAACATAAAACACCTTTGGTACATCAAAATTATAATTCATTTTAGAATGTATCCCACTTGCATAGGTTTATTTTACATCAAATTAATGGTGATTGTACTTTAAAGTGTTCCACTTATAGAGTTGTTCCACTTTTGTAGGTGTTCCACTTTTGAAGTGTTCCACCTACAGAGGTGCCCCATCTCACAAGTTTTACTGTTTAAAACAAACGTGATCTGAGAATAATACTCTAATAATAAGTAGGCTACTCCTTGATGATTGCAATTGTATTACATGTGTTAAGGTTTTTATGAAGTTAATGATTCACTAACATGTACAATGATATTGTTTTTTTTATGAGTTTATTAAGTTTATGTAGTAACCTGGGTTGAGTATATATTGATCTGTTTATCTAAAAAATGATTTCTTGTGAGATTGTCAGGTAAAATCAAAGGTTAGTTTCATTGTGGTATTTTTAAAAAGCAGTACCTCATTCAATATAGGTGAAGTGCATGTTATCAAAGTTAAGTGTGTTTGTGGTCAGGAGAGAGCAGATAATCCATCTATATCTCCTCAATCAATGCTCGTTGAAGTCAAGATTATAAATAAATAAATGAACGACTTTTCAGTAGATAATGTTTTTGAATTTTTAAAGTTTTTTTCTGGTGTTATTCAAATAGATGTCCTAATCTTGGCTCCAATACTTGTCATATTTGATAAGCTTAAGAGTGAAAAAATGAAATGTGACCACTCAAAAATGTCATTAATTATTTAAAGAGTGTCTCACAGTTACTCCCACTCGGACAAACATGGCCTGAAATGAAATATAAGAAGTTATTTGTGAATGTTTAGTCATTGGGTTTGGTCATATCACTATCCTCTGCTTGGTTATCATCATACATACCATTGAGGTCAGTTTGATGATGATAATTGGACAGTTAAATAATTATTTGAACCATATGGAAGGTGGTAAGGTAAATATGCAGACTATACACACCCTGGCATTGCCTTATCCAGCTGTACACCTCTGTTGTAATGCAAAGTATAACCTGTTTGGCTCACCTTAATAAGAATGGCTTGATACTTAGGAAAAACAGTATAATCTATTTTTCTTGGGTTTATTGTGAAATGGTTCAAAATGTATATTGTTTTTATAAGAGAACATATGGCATGTTGATCTTGTTTGATTATGGGACAAACCGTCTGCTGTGTCAGGTGCATTATGGGAGGATGTATTTTTAGCATTATATACCTGATGGTAATGAGCTTATATAACACAGGATCAAACACATTTATGAAATATTGTTTTAGCTCTAGGCTGGTTGTTGGCCATTTTGATAGCTCTGTCATGCAAATGTTTGTATGTGTATTGGAGATATCAGATACTTTCAATGAACTACTGATTGTAACTGAGGCCTCCAAAGTAGGGTTCCAAAAATCACAGGAGTACTTCACATGATATATTGTCTTTATCTTTATATTGTAGTGTTATGTTTCATAATATATAGCATTTCTTGTTTCTTTTGATACCTAATGTTGTCACTTTTTTCTTGTAATGACACTGCTTTGGTTACAATATCAACAGAAAGTTCATTTGATATCATGTGTATTTATACATAAAAAATGAGTTGACGTCAAACATTTTTATATGGAATGTGTCCAATACATTATTTAATGTTATCAAAGGGTGAACTTTGTGGACGTTTGGACACAGGTTGAATAAATAAATGATCAACTTTTTTTATATCTCACAAAACCTCCATAAAACTTATATTCAAGAGACCTTCATTTCCTTTAAATTTTTTACGATATTTACTTCCCTTCATTTAAAATACAACTCTGTGGCAATGTCCTTTTTAATCTGATCCACCTGCAATCAGGTTCATTAACATTAAGTAAAAACAAAATATCTAAAGCGGATACATGGTGTATAGGTTAAATATTTGTAGGTCAGTTATGTTGTTTGAATAAGTGATCATGTCCCCATGTGGAATGCTATGGTCAATATACATGTATGTATGATATGTACATGTTACACCCTTCATTCTAAACAAAGATATGTTACCTCATCAACATCTGGATTCTCATGTTTAGACTTGAATTAGCAACAAATTGTGAGGTTTATATCAGTTTCTATGATATACCAACCAATATGCCACTGTGACCATGCTTTGAAATGCCAAAAATTGCAAATTCTTGAAATTTCAGACAGGTTAGACTGGAAGGAAATACCAGGCAGGGTTACTTTCTACCTGGTTCTTATTCTATATATTTACGAATAATCTTGTTTGATGCTGGGCTGAATTCAGTTATGTCTTTTTATCTAGTAGGGTGAGCAAATAGATAAAAGTAAATCAGAGATCCCAAACATTAAGATATTCGAATTGATTCCTGTGGATTTGAAATATCATACCTTGGAAATCCAAGATGACTTCTTTGAACATATCAAAGTGCATCCTGATCCATAAAGGAATATGCTGGTTTAACAGTATGACCAAAATGAGTAATACTGCAACCTTATCAAATGTTCATATACTATATTTAGTGACATATAACATATCTAAATCCTCACTGATAAGTAGGATTAAAAGACTGTTCTGTATATGCAACACATGAAATGCGCTCATCATTAATTACCCTGCTGAAATCATTCATTAGCCACTGTGCTGCACTCTGACTGACTTCAGTTTTATCACTCATTTAAAGAGTATTATGTCCATCACTATAACAAACTCTTAAAAAGGGTAAGCATCAGTCATCATCATTATCATTCAGTAATAATTAACTTTAATTGAATTATTAGTGAATTCCTATATGGCAACAAGCTTGAATATATGATGAGTGACATCACCTGAACAGTATGTCTACCTGGCATAAACGTTGTGGGAACTTGTTAGTTCAGGTATAGTTCAAATAATTACCCCATAATGATCGTATGTAATGGATGAATAATGGTGACCAGTTACATGTGTTGCATTATAATAACATAATTATACTTAAACAAGGAGATCATAAAGCATATGTCACTGTGATCCCATGGAATATCCTAGATGCGAGTAGAAATAATCTTGATTTACGTCATTAAAAATTCACAATTCAGTCAAACTGGTGTCATATTTGGAATCTACATATAAAATTACATCTAAAAATGTGGTTTTGAAAAGAGTTTATCAACTTTGAAAATTTAATTTTCTCTGAAAATGTGACTTCTAGGTCGGGGAGATTCCCCATAGACCCCATGTTGTAAAACTACAAAAAGTGAAATATCTTTTTTTGTGTTGGGCAGATAATATTTTCTTTTACTGGACATATTTTAATTTGTGTAACTATTAAATACATAAGCGTAATTTGAAAAGTGAACCACTAAAACTGATGCATATTCAAGTTAAAGGGAATTTTGTAATACCTTGCCATGTTATTTCCCCCGAATCAGCCACCTGGTGGCGAAACTGGTAACTGCCTACTCGCATCTGAGTAATTAACATCTTGAATAGCAGAGCATTTTTTTTTTTTTGACTACATAAACCAATTCTACATATTTTGATATATGATATGAGTGAAGTGATCAAAATTTGTCAAATGTAGCAGCATTTTAGTGGAAAATTGTGTGATAGATATATCCATCACTCTGGGTATTCAAAAGGTCAGTTCTCCGATTTGGCACTTTTCATAATAGAAACTCTGGGGTTTTTCAACTGCTTGATTAATTGTTGCAGTTAAAAGATTCCCGGTGAGGCCTCACTGTCTTTGAAATAAGAAAAATGGTTGGCAAGTCAGGAAGTCAAAGATCAGAATTGCATTCAGTTGTGCAATATCTCAATATCTCATATTAGGGGTATTATGTTCACTATGGTAACTAACATAGCATATCCTGCAATCTTCACATTGAGATGTAAATGAAATGCAGTAGAAGGCAATGGTTTTAATTAACTGAACAGCTAGGTGCTAATTTCACTCATTAGTGTCTATGGTCAATTTAACCCATTGGGTATGTGCTTGGGATATACTAGAACATACTTTCTCTGAAATCCCTGTTGTTTTGTCTGACATCGTCCCAACTATGCATTCCTCAATGAAGAACATGTATTGGTCCATCCTCCAAATACAGGCTCGAGACATCATCCACTCTAGCATGCATCCAACTTTGTTTTAAAAGCTATAAAAATCCAAAAATTATTTCATGCAATGCTTAACCCAATTTGCTTTAAATAATTATATAATATATTTAATTGATTGGAAATGTATGCTTCTGTATCAAACCAAGACACAACAAACACATAATATCAGTGTCAGAACATTGTTTAGAGCATACAGAAATTTGATATTGTTCCCCGTTGATCTTCGTTAGATTATCAGTTATGCAAGAGAGTTAGAATAATATGATGATACATTGACAGTGAGCTGAGTCATCAATGAACATGCTCATAATATCATCACTTTCAAAGGTTGAAAAAATCCAATCCAAATATTGCTGTCCTCAAAACACTTGAGGTAAAATGGTCAGCCAGGTACATTCTAATATTTTAAATGTGAGAAACCATCAAATGCTGATGGTCAACAAATATGTTTTCTGAGTATAATGTTTACCTGTCCATCATAGACAAACAAACACACATTATTTACATTATTTACACCTCTCTAATGTTTTAATGGCCTATGGTTGAGTGTTTCATTTGGGGTAATGGTGCTTTTATCTATGAAAATATTAAACCAATGATCTGACCTTAAATAGTGAATTGAATTGTAATTGTGTCTCAATTTATGATCAATGATGTTTCTTTTGAGCAGAAAATCCCCTGTTGCGATACATATTCATCAAGAAAAATTAATGTGTTTGCTTTTAAAAAGTAAAAAAGCACAAAGTCCATTTACTAAGATGTCCAACTGGGGCTTTTAGTTTTTTGAAATACAACTGAGATTTAATACATTTGTTTTGTTGATAATAAGATAACACATATTTAAAGTTTAATAATTATTAATTATTTACAGATTATGTTAAGTTATTTATCAGTTATTTCATTGAAATTAATGGGATTTATCATCTAAGCCACCATTTGTATGTATTAATAATTAAGTCAAATGAATTAATTCTTGATTGCCCTTATTTCATTTGAAGTGATTGCAACACCCAGTACATAACACGTAATGGGGTTAACAAAATATTCCAGAGAAATTTACTAGTGAGAATTCTATCTTTAGCAAAATATGTCAAATTGAGTACAAATACATATTATTTCCTTTCGTACCAACAAATTCAACTCCAGGCACCAAGTATGTTCAAATAACTTGTTGAAAAAACATTTCACACAATTTTTGATGACATATCCACTCGGTGAACACATATTCAGTCAGTAAACAGTGATTTATTAGGTAGATTTTAAAGATTTAAAAGATTTCTTTAGAGTTAAATGTTATTTTTTCAGTTATAAAAAGATATTATAACATATTACAGTGTCATCGGATGTATGAATGTTTGTATTTTTATCTCATTTAACTACATGCTTCAAGGTTAAGACCAAATCACTTGAACTTCTGAATACCTAGAATTAACAAGTATATTTTTAAATAGGTTTCCTTGTCTGTGTATTTTCATGTGTACACTTGAACCGAAAGTTAAATTGCAATTCACATATCCAGGTTATGTTTTGTTAAGTAGATCATTGATGTATTTATGCATCAAGTTATTTAGATAAAGATGAGTTTTGATGAATCTGGGTAATGTCATCTTGATTTCATGTACTGTACATCTACAATAGAATCTATTCTGATTTGCCCCAGTCTCTCTTTATCTAAAGCTTGTGAGAGATGTCTATTCCAAGTGATAGAACTGACTGTGGATCCTACAATTAATCAAATGTAATACCCAGAAAAATAAATCAAAATTATCCAGGGAGATTTAGAAACCATAAAATAAAGTCCAAGACAGGAAGAATACCTGGTAAATGTTAAACTTGGAGTGTTATCTGGTGAACTTGAAGAAATAGTAAAAGTCGTGAGGTATAACAAAAGCATTCTTTCTCCATTGAAGCACATATTACTTACGCAGGCAAAAGATCTAGCACATTACAAAGGACCAACTTGTATTTTTAACTACTTTTCAATTCTCTCTCAATAAGCTCATTTTGTGTGAAAAATTATTTTCTTCCCTGTTTATTTTCAACATGACATTTTTCAAAAGCCATTGAAATACTTCAAATCATTTAACATATTGTCAATAACCTTAATAAAAGTAGTTTCATAATTACAATTCAAAATGTAAACTTCAACCCTAAGAATGTGATTGAATTCCATTTATTTCATATTTCAATTTTTATGACATGTTGAATGAAATCAAGAGCAGTGATTCAAAAGTGGTATTCAAACCCTATGTTCAATACTGATGTCCCTTTTATGTCGCAATAACAAAACTTAAAACATTTGCTGCAACATTTTTGGCACTCGATTTTATTTGTGTGCCTTGGGGCATTACGATAGGCTTCCTCTGTACCAAGCGCTACCTGTTGTCTGGCATCATATCACATCCCTCCCATAAAATATCACAAGATATACTGACTTTACATTCATTTAGAAATACATGAATAAGAGTGAAATATCCTAAATTACATTATTATCATCCCAGTATAATTTAATTAAAATGTCAGATAAATCAGAGCAGTACAATGTCTCAACTCTTTCAACTTTTAAGTTTGCCATTGAAAACATTTGGGAGACATAGATAAAATATAAACCCATCACTACACACCATTTACTCTTACTATGTAAATCATAAAACTTAACTGTATTATCTACCTTTAAATGTGATTTTACACAGGCTTTCGTTTTATCACCTAAGTAGCCACAAAGGAATTTTTCTTAATGAAGAATTGTCCCTTTCTGAGATCACTTTCTCATCTGTTCTCAGAAAATATTTTCTTTAGTATTTCTAACTGGTTTCATATCGTAGCTAGGTGTGTCAAGGTTAACCTACTTTCTTGTGGTTTGAATGATATTTAAGAGAAGATTTCGTGTTGTGGGGAAGTCTTGATTACCCATAATACACTTCAATGAGCAGACGTTTTCCTTATCATAAGTGCATTGTGGTGAAAACTTCTAAGTACAACCAAGTAAATAACAAAAGTACATACAAATTAAATTTTGGGAAAAGGTAGTTGACTAAAACTAGCCTGATTATGCAGTTGAATTTACATTGTTAACAATATTCAAAGTCAAACTCTCTCTCTTTCAAATTGGCCTTCAATACTCCCTTCACTTTGCAAATATAGAATAATTTGCAAATATCAAGAAACTAGAGAGACATATGTTGAAACCGAAACAATGTAATTTTTCAAGTGTTTCTAAACTTGGGCCAAACTAGGAAATGTGAGCTCATTAAACAGCCAAGTCAATGTAGAGGTTTTTCTTTATCAATGAAAGATCAAATAGAATGTTGCTGTATTTGTATAGTTTTAAAAAAGCTCAACATTTCCGCTGCTTTCATTGGCTATGTCCTAATATAAACATGAGCTTAACCTTTATAATGTTACCCCAGAGCCCTGAGGTTGAAACCCTTCAATCCAGCTTACAGATCCAGTTAATGTAATAATACAATGGCCAACTTTCTAATAGGATATATGGAGCCGTTTTACAATTATTACAACACTGTTAAGACTGTAAATACAACCTCCATGTTAAAACTTCACTTAAAGACGCACTATGCTCTGGAGGATAAAAAACGTCAGTTTAATTACAGCAGTTGGATGAACATTAGTTGTTCTGTGTGTTGTTAATAAGCAGTAGCATACAGCTGATTTGATTGGCTGTAATTTATTGCTGGACTGTGCTTGTATGTATTACCCATTAGAGGCCTCACCGGGACCAGGTGAGTCGTGTTATCAGAAGTATAGCTGATATTAATACAGTTAGCCAGTGATCAGTCAGGAAGGTAGGCAGCCTTTACATTACTGGAGACTAGTGACCTGTGACACGACTACCTTCCGCTCCATTCAAAATCACTCATCATTATTATGTGTGGTAGAGGCAAAGAGGGAATACAGCTTTGAGGACACATGGCAGGAAAAGTGAATTATTAACTATAACAACCGACATTTGGAACTTACAACACAATACGATAAGCAATTATGGAGTAATAAGTAACTGGATATATTTATTTAGTTGAAGATATGGTTAACGTGATATATAATGTGTATTATTCCCACAGATTGTAACTGTACAGGTAAAACAACATGGAGGCTCTACAGCCTACAATTGCTGTAGGAGCACAGGTTAAAGCAGACCAGGGAACTTATAACCATGATATAAACACTAACTCTAACACTCTAGAAGCCAACAATAATATGATAAATGACAACAGTCTTAATACAAGCCTAGGAAGTATGGTGGCTGAACTTGCTGAACAGAACAATTCTGAACCAAAACACAGCACAGAAGTTCGGAATAATCTCAACAAAAGTCCAGTTTCGCCTGGAGATCAGTATTCTGATGGATATAAATTTTTTAAATCAAGTGAGTGGAAAAAAAATATGAGGTACTTATTTGGTCGGGAAGAAGACCCTTATAATGATAAAACACAGGATTATAATGAATATGAGCCTCCCCTTGTGCCTTTAGAGAGCTCTCCCGCTGAAGAAACTGATTGGAATAGGTTCTTATTTGGAAACCCTACTTCCAGGCGATCATTCCATGTTAAAAAGAAAACTAGGCGTACCCCAAGCTTAGGAGTAGATGGATTATCTGACAGGTATGGACTATTTGATGATGGGTTGTCTATAGATACTAGTACATCAACAAGTTCCGAGAGGGACGCACAAATGCTTTCTCCTAGTAGTCAAACTAGCGATCGCTCATCAGATAGTAGGAAATCTTCTCATAAAAGACATTCTCATAGCTCTAAAAGCTCTACAAGTTCAGAGAGTGCAGGTGAACCATATATGTATGGGGAGAATTTTACGACACGCAGCTCTACCCCAAGTAGTATTAGCTCAGATGGTTCAGGGGCCCAAGTGTTTAACAGGAATAGCAATGCTAGAGTGACTGTAAAGCGTAGACCCAAGAGCCCTAAGGTTCCAGCTAATGGTGATATGAGTGCTTTTTTATATGGTACCACTTCTCATAGTCCACGTAATGAAAGTAGTAATCCCCCTAGTGACAGGTCAGACTACTCGAGCAGCAGGTCTGGGTGGTCAAGTTCCAGATCTGAGCCATTGAGTCCTAGATCCCCTGGACCTGTAAGCCCAGTGGATGAACTAGGTGAAAGATTAACTGAACTGAGGAAATCTATGAAAAATCGACCCCAAAGCAGTAGTCATATCCCGGGTCCCCGTGGTGTAAAAAGCGGTAGCGAGCAACTTACAAGCCCTAAGAGTCCAGTCACAGAAGACAATGTCTTTTCTTCACCCAACTTACCTCAAGCCTCCACTGCACGTAGGGGCAGTAGTATTAGTATAAGCAGTACCTCTAGCTTCAATAGAAACACACCTCTCAGAAAATCACTTCCAAATCGACGACCCAAAACTCCCACCATAGTTGTTGAAGATACTAATAAAGCCATACAGGATAAAAATAAGACTGTTGGTAGTAATGATGGTAATGTAAATGAGAATGTAGACAATAAGACTGGTGATGTTGGTGAGAGAGGCACCACAGCCAGAAGGTCATTCCGGGGTCGGCCTAAAACAGGTAGTAAGATACCTGGACCCCCAACAGCAGATCTGGACAAATATTTATATGGTGAGGGTGGGAGCCCTTTGGAGAGCTTGCAGAAAAACTCAGGAAATAGACGTTCTTTGAGAGGTCGGAGCAGATCTCAGGTTAACTCACCGCGTGGTATGCGGTGTGCCAGTCCGGCATTGTCCGATGCCACTGACAATGAGAGCCTGATGAACTTTGAGCTGTACGAAGATGAAATCAATATTAGTAGTAGTACCATAGTTGACTCTAACGATGAACGTTCTCCTCATGAACGTTCTGATTACTCAGATAATTCTCCGCATCACTCTGATGCATCGGTCAAGAAACACAGGAATACCTCCAAGACACACAGCTCTTCAAACAGCCCTATTGCAGTACAGAATTCAGCTCGAGAAAGCCCAAATTGTAAGTACAAGCCTATTCAATCCCTTTTAGTTTTTGTTAAACCAACATGAGAGTACCAGCACACTACATTTTATGTGCAGTTGTAAGTAAAAAAGGTATAGAAATAAATACTTCAAATATTAAATAGGATAAGAGAGCCAAAAACAGCTGTATTGAAGATCATATAATCATAAAATACTCAACAAATTAATAGCTGTGGTTGACATTTCTCACTAATGTTAGCAGTAATAAATCTCAAAAGTCCACACACATGTAGATAGAGCACAAAAGTTATGTTAGTGATTAAGAGACCAAACAAATGGTTAGGTAATGGTATTATACATCTCTGATATCAAGCATTTATTATCTGGCTTTGAATAGTGCTAATTCTAAATCATAACCATTTGGCACATATTTCCCCTTCAAAATATCACACTATTTGTTTTTGAACAAATAATAATATTAAGATAAGGGCATGTGCCAGCCAGGGTCATTGAAAGTTTTAGAGATTATTTAATGATTCTAATCTTGTTGATGGTCTACCCTTGCTGGCCTAGTTTTAATTGATTTAGGGGTTTGTCCTTAACATGTCCTCGGTACAAGCTGTCTCTGATGCATTGTTAGTTGTATTTTATATTTTACACAGACACTGTGTACACTCTACGTCATAGCTCTCAATAAGATACTCTCATACATTTAGAGGTGCTTTATAGAGGTAAAAGGAGCAGGATTTGGCAGTTAGATATGTGTATTATTGGCGGATGTGTGTATTTTAACAGTTCCAACAGCTACCTTTTCAATGCCAAGAGGTTTGTATTCATAAAACTCAATTCAAAGACACATGTAATTCGTTCATTCACAGTATAGTTCTAAACCAGGCTTTATAATGAAAAAATATACCATAGAAGAAGAAATACTGCATGAAAGGTCATAATAATTATACATTAAAGGCATGTAAAAAATGTTATAACCTTTTGTGTAACAAGGCGACAGATATCCCTCTCTTAGTGTAGTAAGCTATTATTAATGGTCACCCACATTTAAGAAAATCAAGTTCTCACAGCATATGTAGCATGCAACCTGATTTGTTTCTAAAAAAAGATCCCATGTATGTACTAAGTTAATTTGTGGATCATGAATCATAAATTGATGTTAGATAGAGAAATACGACACCTGTGTAACCAAATATTTTAGCAGTCCCATCAAAGTACATGTATCTCTGACCTATGACAACCTATTTCAATTCATCCCTTTCTGTACCTTTCTTTCATGAAATTCTAGGTGTGATCCTCATTCTTACTTGCTACATCCATCTGGTGTGATCAATGTCTTTGAATGTTCACCATGGGTTGATATCACATCTTGGATTTCCAAGTTCTGAGTGATGACATATTGTTTTAGTCTCCAACTTTTTGTGGATGATGTTCTTTAGATAATTCACCGTATGAAAAAATGACAGTTGTTAAGGTAGTATTATTTGGATGTTCAGCCTAAAATCCATGCTGACTTGATATTATAATTTGCACTACCTCAATAATTTCACAGTTCATTGCCGTGAATTTGTGTGCTAAACCATTGGATGTGCTGTCAAATGTTTAATCAAGTGTGACGCCATATTCATATGAAATGTAACATTACTTCTAGCAACATATTTGAACACAACTACAAAAGTTTGGAAATCAGAAAAAAGCATAGATTTTTGTGATGTTCATGGAGTAATCTGAATGATATATTCTAACTGTGTTAGGTTTTTGACAACACAGATGCATGTACATTAATCAACAGCTTGATGGGTATGGATGACGTCTTAAACTGACATCACCTTTATTTACTGTATATGTGGCAATGTAGCATACACTTTACTACCTTAAATGACTGTAGGTACTAAGGATCAAATGTACTTATTAACCTTCATTAGGGTCATATTAGTGTCCGTGGGAGTAGCTAAAGATGAAAAATTACCGCTCATGTGTTTGAAAGAGTCAGGTGAAAACAGTTGATCATTGTGTGACTATATTCAACCTGCTCTCAATGGCACATTATAGTATCTTTATCACTGGTTGTACATGTAAACTATCATAAAGACTTGTGTCTTAACAAGGTCTATCTTAAAGTGATTTTTGAAACCTCCCTGATATCATGTAAGACCTAATATTAGATCTTGTTTAGATTTCATACAGTGAAGGATTTACAGATGAGAAGTTTGGGGAAATACTGTAAGATTGCCAAACATTAAAAACTGTGTTTATGTTTTCTCAAGTGTGTGTTTTCTCAGTTTATATTTTTTATTCAGAGAGTCTAAGTAGTTTGTGCACTTGGCTTGTATGTGGCAAGTTTTTTGTGAAAGCAATTTTATTTAAAATGGTTTCAATGTTAGATGCTATAACAATCTTTGAGTCTTTTCTACACAAATCACGTAGCTTAAGAAATTACTTTATCACGCTGGGAATTGTACATTCAGTTGATGTTAGAGTGAGGCACAGTTTGAAAAGTTTAATTGTAGGTAGTTCTCGTTATGTTAAATGACCTACACAGTGTGCCACATAGCAGAGCAGGTAACAGATTGGCATAAAAATACATTTGAGTACCTACCACGTCACAACCTTGTAGAAGGCTTGAAAAAATATACAATTAGTATGGTAGTGATTCATAATGAAATTAAAGCAAGCTGTTTATATAAAATAGTTGAACATATTTAAGCATAGCAACTTTGGGACGCTTTGATCATTTAACAGGTTGATGTTGGTTATTAGTTTGGGTTTTCTTTATTGTTCCTCAACTCCTAGTGGTTCTTCAGTCTCTGCTTAGTTTCATATGTCCTCTATGTCTAGATTGTTCATCAGTCTTTATTACTCTTTACCATCTTGAAGGTATAGCACATAGATCTTGTATAATATAAAGGGAGGGGTTGTTTTCATTATACACACTATTAGGAATTATTATTATATTAATAGTGTTACGTATGAACCCATCTTTTCAAATCAGTTTAAAAGTGAATTCATATTGAGCATAATGTCAGATTTATCCTGTGTAGAAACTTTACAAATATTTGCATGTGAAATCCCCTTCTATTGAAACTGTAGGTCTTGAAGCTTTCAATACATAGCTAAGCCACTAAAAGAACAGTCCTAAGAATAAGTCACTTGAAACTTAAAAATATTTAAAAATTTGTTAACTTTTTTGTCAATATTGCTTTTCAGAGGGGGTCTTAACTGTTCTGATTAAGTACAATATTGACAGAGCATTTGTAGAGGCCAAGGACTGACATCTCTTTTCATACTTTCTCTGTGGAAATAAGAAAGTGCATCGACACAGATCTCCAGAAATCATTCTCTAGATCATTCATATTCTCATTAAAATGAATATTAGTGCATGATCACTTTGTAAATATTTATACTGGGCTATTTTGTATTGAGTGCAAATTCTGAATATTAAAATAAATTGAGAAGGTGTCATAATTGAAGTATGGGAAAACATTATAAAAATGAATGAATTTTTGATTCTGTGTGTTCGTGAGAAACTGCATGTTTTCTGCATGCTATTAAGCATGTTGGTTCAATGGTATATATTTTACAATATTGATTAATTAAACAATTTCAATAGTACATTTAATTAATTGACTACATTACTAACCAAAGCTAACTTAAAGTTAAGTAAATTAAGAGCTTTATTGTGGATTGTATTTACTACTGTGTATGGCCTTAAAATTTATGAAAATGACATGTTTTGGTATACCACACAATGACCCATTTGTGAAATTGTAAAAATCTATGCAATATTTTGAGCTTCAGTGTGCAAGTTTGTCACAGTTGTCACAAAAGAAAGTTTAGTAGGTGTTGTTGGCAATACTTCAACAGAAACACAATGGCTATGTTTGCACACTTCCTGAGCCACAATTTGGATTAACCCAAGCTTGCTTTAACTGTTGATCCGATCACAGGGGCATATGCATCTCAATGGTGCATCCACACTCCAACAGTTTTGTTATATGATTTATATACAGGTCTCTTGTAAGTGAACTGTTATCCTTAACCTTCATGTTATGAAACTGATGTGTGATCTTGTTAGGGAATGAAAGCTCGAATCCACAAGTTTTGATGTATCCAGAAAAGTCAATTTTCTATTTATTGTTAAAATGATTGATCTTGTGATTGGCATTATTGAGAAAGGGGTATTTATAAATGCTTGGAATTTTTTGTTAGGGGATATTGCAGCGTCTCCTTTTTGTCCCACATCATCCAGACCTCTGTTTATGTTTTAGGAGACACAATAAAGCTCTTACTTCTCTGTTTGAAAAATCTCTCATGTCTTTGTTCATGTGTCATAATAGTGCTGTCCTAGCATGTACCAGGAGTTGTACTATATATGGGTGTGAGGTGACATTATATTGTAAATTACAAGATTACATGCACTCTGAATGCTCAAACAGCAACCTCAACTAACACTTACCGGAGTAGGGCTCTTTTAGTGAAAGTTGAAGTGATAGTCTTAATTTGGTACAACAGTCAAGATGTAATATCGACTTCTCCTAGTGGTGTATATTTTATCACATTAATAGAAGTTGATATATTAGCTCAAATTGATCAGTTGCTCGTTATGTGCTTGATAAATGTTGAATATGTGATTCATTGGCGATTATTTTACTATTTATATACATTGCTCATAGAAGTTTGATTATAGATTAATATTGGAGCTGAATCTGGAGTAGTCATTGTGTAAATTATTAGCATAATCAAATTTTGCTGTTGGATTACCAAATGCTCCTTCCTTAATCATATATTATTTAAGTAGTTTTGTGGGATTTACCTGATTCAAAGAATATAAATTGTAAGAGTGGCTGTGGGAGTCAAAGTTTGTTAAAAGTATTATATTATATTTATAGTAGGTGAGATAAACTTCAAAGTTGATTGTCATAGTTTGTTCAGCATATCTCTGATTGACTCTTTAGTCATCTTGAGTTAGTTTTGACATGCTTAAAAACATTGTCATTATTGGTACCTAGATACTCTTGTAGAGAAATCCCAGTGCATCTATTAACATGGTTGAAAACAGCATATAATGCTTTGAAACATGTGATATGATACTGAATAATGATACTGAATTCCATATTGTTGAAATCTTGTGTAATCATTTGTTATTTCAAATGGTATGTGACCCATGGCAGATAATGTCACTTCTGGTAACTTATTTTTGAAACATTGGATGTTTGTCAAGGTTTGGTTACCTCCAGGCGACATGTGATTTGATAATTAACGGAAATCATTTTTTACGCATTGTGTAATTATGTGACTATGTAACATTTAGCCCATAGTTTTGAAACATTGACTTGTAATATCATCATGTTCAATATTGACCTGTCACCGTTTACATTTATCATATCTTTAGTATTTCATGTTTGGAAGAAACATCAGCTTCATCTCTGAC